GGCGTAATCTCAGCTCACTGCAAGCTCCACCTCCTGGGTTCACTCCATTCTCCTGCCTCAGCCTCCCGAATAACTGGGACAACAGGCACCTGCGCCATGCCCGGGTAATTTTTTGTATTTTTAGTAGAGACAGGGTTTCACCATGTTAGCCAGGATGGTCTCGATCTCCTGACCTCAGGTGATCTGCCCGCCTCGGCCTCCCAAAGTGCTGGGATTACAGGTGTGAGCCACAGTGCGCAGCCAAGCCACTAATATCTTACTATTAATATTTTTGTACAGTGGGCACAGACACTGTACTAGGTCCTTTACAAACAGTAACTCATTTAATGCCCCTTACACAAGAAACAAAAGAAGAAACTGAGGCTCAGAGAAATTTGCCAAAGGTTATTTGGCTCCTATCTGGCCATGCAGGGATTCAAATTCTGTCTCACTCCAAAGCCAGAATTTTTTTCCATTATCCAGTATTTCCCAAACTTGTCAGGTCATAAGAATCACCCCGAGCACTTGTTAAAAATATACATTTCCTTTACCTCTCCACCGGAGATTCTGATTCAGCAGGGCTGGGGTGGAGCTTGAAATCTATCTTTTTAACCCATGCCCTGGATAATTCTTCAGAATAGGCAAAATTGGGAAACATCATATTCCACACCACATTGTCACTCAGTAACCCACACTATTTCATTCCTTAAGATGTCCCCTTCTAAAATGTGCTGAATTAAAAGAAAGTATATTCAACCACTGATCAAATCAACCAATCTTTTCCAACCTGCTTCCAAGAACAGTGTATTGTGTCTAGATGGAAGCCTTTAAAATTACAAGCTGGAATTTTGAAAAATAAATTATTGCATCTCAATATATACCAAAAAACCAGGCTGGCAAAATTGCTTACAAATGAATTTGTTTTAAATGTGATTTGGGCAATAATTCTACCCTCAAGAAGTAAAAGAGATTTGCTTTCATTAAATATTAAATAATTTGCGTGTGTTAATTTTCAGAAAAGAAAAACATTTTAGCATATAGTCTGTATACCATTTAAATATTATTAAAAGTGACTAGGCTATTATTATTCTGTTAATTATTCCAATGCAAAGTGCAATGGTGAGGATCTTATTAAATGAAAACATCTTAAAACTGGAATGTTTATCAGGCTTCAAAACAGGCTTAGAATCCAGTAATCACCAAAAGAAATAGGAAACACCATATTTCCTTATAACCTTAATATTTCCCCTTTTAAATAACTAACTTTTCATGAACTATTTTGTTAAGATTGTCACAAGATAAAATAATGCTATTTAATAGGATAATGTAAAGACATTTACTTCAGTATTTATTTACCTGTGTTAACTAGGAAAAAACTCCCTCTTATAAACACTAAAAAAGTGTTAGTATAGAAGAATCATAATTTAAAAATTAATGATTTTCTCAAAATTGCCTCACCCTACCTGATCACGATATCTCTGATAATGTGAGATGGTACAAGTAAAACAGGTTTAAGACATATTCTTTAGGGAGACAAAAGATGCTCTGACATGTATGAAGGATGTATTTACAGAAAGTATGTCATTCC